AGAGAGAGAGAGAGAGAGAGAGAGAGAGAGAGAGAGAGAGAGAGAGAAACTGTGAGCGGAAAAAATATGCGACGGCACATCCGAAAAACACCGACAAACGACCATAGCGAGAGAGAAATTGGGAGCATTTTTAATTGAAATTGAATTATGTACTATCGTGGCGAATGCGTGCGCCTCCTGCTCTCACTCTCTCTCTCTCTCTCTCTCTCTCCCTCTCTCTCTCCCTCTCTCTCTCCTGCCACCGAAAATCGGTCGATTTAGTTTCGATAGGCCGTTATATTTTATTGCCCATCGAATTGAAATTAGCCAATAAATATGTACACGCTCACCTCTTGTTCATGCTCGTCTTTCGCCCTCTCTGTGTCGGTGCGGTGTGTGTATGCGAGCGTGCCGCACACAAACAATTTTCGGAAATGTTATTGCGTCTTTTATCGGATTTTATTTGTATATTTCGACGTTTGCCACTCGATTTTCACATCATTTCATGAACATCGGAACGGAAATGGGCACCCGAACAGGCAACTGTCGAGGAGCCTGAAACATGCATTGAATTGGTTGAGTTTGGTTGATTTCATACGGAACAAACAGGAAAAATTCACCCACTCACTCTCTCGCGGGGAAAACGAAACGCAGCTCAAATGCTACACCAAATCATTTGAAATCAATTTCCTTTTTTCTTTCTTTTTTTTTATTTATTGTCTAGTTTATTGTTTTCTTAATCGTTTTTGATACAAATTAGGTACAAATTGATGTTTGTACGAATAAGTGAATATGATGCAATGGCTTCTTTGCCGCCACATACACACCAGCCAAGCCAAAATTGTCAATTCGGTGCTTGGCGATTTCGAAATCCGGACAGTTATAATTGGCATATTGATTTACAATCGCCACCGAGTATATATCGATTTTGTGCAAAGTCCAAACTCGGCAATGCGCTGATCTCACCAAAGTTTCGCACTTTTGGTTTTGGTCGAACGAGTTTTTTTTTCACTTAACCAACTAATAATGACTTCTTGTGTTGGGAATGGATTTCTAGCGCATTTTTAGCCGTTATTTTCGAAATTGAAGGAAAAAATGGATTAGATGAAGAAACACAATTGTTTGGATTCGACAAAGAATGGTTTTGGATGAAGACAAACAAAAATGAACCTTGTATCGAAATTTCAAGGAAAGGATTAGACAATCCGATTTAGTCAACGAAAGAAAAATACTCACAAATTAAAGCGTATTCATTGCTAATACCGAATGATCATAATAAAAACATTGACTTTGAATCGATTTATGATAACTTTCGGTTTTTCTCTGATGCAATTCCTTTCGAACGTTTCTCGTTCATCACCCAGTCAGTCACTCATCATGATGATCATTGGACGAAAAAAAAAGAGCGAAGCAGTCGTACGCAAACACAAAAGAGCATGGAATTTTACAATCAGGATTTAAACAGTAAATTGACGATTCGTCATTATATGAGTCTGCTGAACGGTGCAAGTGAGAGGGACAAAGAGAGAGAGCCAATATAAGAGCGTTTATTGTTTCGTGCCTTCTTAATAAAATCAATAAAATTCAAATTTTCTGATAGATCCATCACTCATCCTCCATATAAATCAAAAATAAATTTTCTCGATGCCAAAACAATAAATTAAGAAGAAAAAAAAGCGAAGAATGAATCGAATAGACAATGATACTGGCAACATTTAGAGTCCAAAAAAAAACTCGGCGGCATAAGAAAAAAACCAGAGAGAGAGAGAGACAGAGACGACAAAACGAAACCACCTTTTTATTTCTTTATTCACTCGATGTTGACGGAATTTCGAGCGTTTTTTTTTTTAAATTTTGTTGTTTGCTGCTGCTGCGGCGTTCGGTGTCACTTTGTTTGACGATTCGCCATTCGAACGAAGGGCGAGAAGACAACGCGCGGGACAAAAGAGAGAGAGAGAGAGAGAACGAAGAGTTCAAATAAAACTAGTATAAATTTAATACTTTTATGAAATAATAAAAATTAAAGAATTTTGTTTTGTTCTGGTTTCGGAGCGACGATTTGTGCCGATATCAATGCGATACACTCTCAACCATGACGAATACTGGATGAGTAATGCATTGATTGTGTGGCTGATCGATGTTCAACGCATTCAGATTCTATAGAGAGAAACATATCCAAAGCAAAAAAAAACCGTTTGAATGTTTCCGTCAGAGAGACCTGTTGAAGACACAGATAGACACACACACAGAGAGAGAGAGAGAATGATGGAGCAAAGTATATGATAAAGACAAAGAGCAGAGCCATGGCCAAAAGGCACCTATCAATTAAATTTATATTTTTATTAACTTAAGATGTTTAGGAATATTTATATGCAATGGCATATATGGCTTTACAGCGCGACAGTAAACAC